GGTCCCTCAAGTCCCTTGCTTCATGTTCAAGAGAGTGGTGGTTGCACAGAAATCTTTAAACCTCAGAGCTTCAGAAGCCATCTGGGTTGGCAATTTGTTTTCTGTTTAGGACTAGGTAGTAAATATCAGCAGATGTGAGGGCCGTACATTCATCTTTTGCAACTACTTTATTCAGCCACTGTCGTGGGCCACAGACAAAACAGAACTTTACAAGAGCAGGACGCTGGCAGGCAGGACTTGGCCTGCAGCTCATTGTTTGCAGACACCAAGCACAGAGGGAAAGCACAGAGTGGATTCCAGTTTCAGCTCTCCATTCACCAGCTGTGCCTCTGTATCAAAATTTTCTCAATGCTTAAATTGGGATAATTCCCTATTAGGACATCAAGGACATAAGGAATGTGAAAGTGCTTTGTAAATGTGTAACTCCTACAGAAAACAGAAGGCGCTACGGAATGGTACTCTACCGCCTCAGGCAATGTACACAGACTCAGGTGGTCTTTCCCCTACCCTATTTCTAGAAACGGAAACTTTTGCTGCTGTTTGAAACGCAGCAGTCACAGGAAAATCCACGTGTTAGTGGCCAAAGCCTATTCTCTCCATCATAGCAAAGAATGAACAAACCAGATCACTTGGAACTTCTTTTTCTTAGTCCTGTGGAATGAATCCCCTTGCCAAGTTTAAGAGAAATTCTCAAAACACTGAGAACAACTCTTGAGAGTCCTTGCCTCTGGGCAAAAGGGGTTGTAGTGTTTTGTTTCCTTTCTGGGAAAAAGGGGTGGCGCCTGTGGCTCAAAGGAGTAGGGTGCCAGTCCCATATACTGGAGGTGGCAGGTTCAAACCCCGCCCCGGACAAAAACTGCAAAAAAAAAAAAAAATCTTTCTGGGAAAAAGAAAGCTATAGGCTTTTATTTACTTATTTTATTTATTTTGAGACTTAATCTCACTTTGTCACCCTCAGTAGAGTGCCTTGACATCATAGCTCACAGCAACCTCAAACTCTTGGGCTCAAGTGATCCTCTTGCCTCAGCCTCCTCAGTAGCTGGGACTAAAGGTTCTTGCCAC